CAACTCTGCATCTACAAATCCTAATATATATCAAGTGTTGAAGATTCACAATTTTTCATTCATAACTTTTGTTCTTATATTAACAACTTTTATTTCTAAATTTATAATAATTCAATAGTCATTTGTAACTCTATATATACAGCTCCTGATATGCATAAGGTGTTAAAAATTTATAACTTTTATTCCTATATTATCAACTTTTTTTAAATTCACAATAATTTAATAGCCATTCACAAATTTCAAGATTTTTGTTTTATTTTAGGATAATTTGGTCATTTTCTTTAATTATCTAATGATAAAAAAATCTCATAGGATTTCAATAAAATTTTGCTATTTTGTAGAACTAATCTGCCATTTATATAATTTAAATAAATTTTTTTATCATTTTCTAAAAGAAATATTTATGTTATGTTATGTGTATGTATGCATATTCCTCTAATACTATATATGCTTCGCAACCCAACTCCCTTGGCTAAAAATTCTGACTCTCCTCTTGCCTTCTGTTGCATTTTTTTCTAAAAGCACACACAGTGGATGCATAATCAATTGAATAAAAATAGAGAAATACTGTAGTTTTTTTTTTAATTCTTTAACAGAGCATGGCCCCTTTGTATTGAAATTGTTATATTATGGAAAAAAATAGAATTAAAGTGTAATTTTTTATCTAAGATATTCTTAAAAGAAAAGAAATTGATACGTAGGTCCTTCTAATTTTTTCAATTTAAAATTAGGTTCTTATAATTTATTTTATCTTAATCAAGTTCTTATAATTTAATTAATTAAATATATTATAGAAAAACAATTTATAGTTTAATCAAGTCTTATACTTTTTCAAGCCCTTATAATTTTTCAAAATAAAAACACTTTTAAAATTTATAGAAAAATTAATTTAATATTTTTAGCCAAAAAATTGACTTAATACAATACTTATATTTTTATTAATTTTTTGTGAAAATTCTATATATTAAATTTTTTTCAGAAAACATAACCTAATTATATAAATTTTAAATTATAAAAATTGTGAAATTATCTTTTAACAAATATATAGAAGCCTTTAATTTCATTTTTTAAAAGAAAATATTAAAGGATTTTAACAACTAGGAACTTACATATTTAATCTATTAAACTATAAGAGTTTGATTAAAATAAAATAAATTACAAGGACCTAATTCAAATTCATGCAAAACTATAAGGACCTTTAGATTAATTTTTTCTTAAAAAAAAAAAAAGCTATGAGCATCCTAACAAGCTGATTTACAAAATAATATAGCTTATAATCTTTTAAAATTGGTACAATGTTGCTCTTTTCAAGGATCAATGTGGAATCAAGTATTAACAACCTGATAGAAGGCATTTTCACTTATCATTAGCTTAACGTTAATTATTGAAAATAACAACATTACACTGTTTTTAAAAGATTATGAATATGATACATTGTTTCATACTTTTCTTTAAAAATGTCCACAACTCTTTTAGAAATATTTTTGTGGCAAAAATATAATTTAATTCTTAATTTTATGCATTAAGAATCCTGTTAGAATTTAGAATATAAAAATTAAAAAATGTATGCTAATAGATATCAGCATGGAAAATTAAAAGCATGATGGAGGTCAAAAACAACTACTTTTCTCAATTTGGCATTGGATTTCAAGGCTCCAAACTTTGATGGACATCATGGATGAGAATATTATTTGACTTGTTTTTGGTGCAGCAGTGAGTCCTTGACCACTAAATTGGGATTCCAAGCTAAGTTTTGGACCCCCAATCCACGTGATTGCCAAGAACTCCAATTATAAGAACGCAAAACATGTCTACCGAATGCATTTGGGGTGCTCAAATCTCAAACTGTTGTGTTAAAAGAAATATGTTTGGTTAAATTTTTGTTTTGACTCATTTCTTAGGAAAAAGTGACTTATGGGCCTACTTTGGGGGTTGCGTTGTTGTGCACCTCTGCCTTTACTTTCTACTCCTCACTCTCTCTCAATTTGTTGTCTATCAAAAATATTAATATTCAAGCTGATTTTTGTTCATTAAATGGAATTTTTAATTAGATTTTTACCAATATTTGATAAATTAGATTACATATATAAGATATGATATTTAGCATATATCTGTATTATAGGATTATATACGTATATATTCTCCTATTCAATATTATGAGACATCTTTAACTGGATCACACTTTTAATGAGTTAGTTAATTATTTTTAAAATTATGAACTCTTTTTGTGTTTACCTTATTTAATGTGTCAATTAATTACACCCATAGCAAAGGATATTTAAAAAAAAAAACCTCATTAATTGCATATTGAAAGATTTAAATACCCTCTATTTTTTAACATCCTCTCTCAAAAAATGGTTCATATTTTTTAATGAAAGAGTATGCACAAGAAAAATATTTTGTACTATAATATTTTATAATTTATTAATTCATTTTATCTTTTTAAAATTGAATATTTTATAATTTACCCTTTAAATTTTCTACCTAGATTTATAATTCACTTCATATTTTCTAATTCCATCCTTTAACGAAAATATAATTTAAATTTATGATTTTGTTCTTAAAGATATCAAATGAGTTACACAAATGTATCTTAAAAACTTCATGTCCTCTTTTGTTATTATACAATTAAATTAGTTTTTTGAATTTGATTGGGATTAAAATGAAGTGTCAAATTAACTAAAGCCTAACATAACAAAGAGAATGTAATAAGAAACGCCAAGCCCAGCACTCAACTAAAAGCGAGGCTCAATCAGCTCCTAGATAAGGTTTTGCACTGAGGCAAAGAGTGTAGCCCTTAAAACTCGAAGCAACTGAACGTGGAACTCCGTTAAAGGGACATGAAATCGTTATCTAATGTGCCATGAATCTCACTAGATTATGCCTAATGATAGCGGATATTTTACATACAGGCTCCTGGTTCTTTAAGCATAATGGTCTTAGGTGTTCAAGTATAAAAAGGGTTCAATTAATGAAATAAAAAGCAAACAATCTACATACATAGTAGATTCATTGCTAAAATTCAAATCAAATTTACTTTGCACTTAGGCTTAGACTTTATTATTTTAATTTCATAGCTGTAATCTTGGAAACTTTGTACTTCAATTTTAACAATCAAATCACTTTTATATCATTATCTTTAAATCTCTGCATCCAGGTAAATTGAGATAAGGGAGTATGAGAACCCTTTTTATCATATTGAAGACTCTAAGTCTTTAGCACGTCTGATAGTTGTATTGTTCAAATACATTTAACAACTTGTGGCATGCTTGGCGAGACCCATGTGATAAAGATGTTCAAAACATGCAAAGACGGGAAGGTTGATGAAGGTAAGAGTATTGGTTCTTACAAACCAGAAGGTGGCTCTACACACATAAGGCAAGAGGAACTAATTACACGTGAAGCTAGAGTAAGTACACATCGAGAGCACGTAGTGCTGATGACTACTAACAACAGTAGTGTGAGTCCTAAATCAAAGGCAAGTAATAAAACTGTCAATTATTTGATTGTGTCTAATGAGCTTGTAGCAAAAGTATTACGATGGATACAAGATCGTATGGACAAGCAATTGGAAGAAAGTCAAAAGTTCTATGTGCTCTAACTCAAAGTATCAAAGTGTCAAAAAAGAGAGTGCTAACAGGTAATGATGCAGGCCCTTCATGAAAGGATAAAAAACATCACTGCATTACTAAAGGGAGGGCTTACAGAAGATGGATCAAATTTCATGCCAGATTGGGGGCAACCCTCAGGGAGTATCCTTGACATAAGCCTTTGGGGCTACGTGCATGTAAGGGATAATCTTAACCCTATTTTTTTTGCTCAAACTAATCTTATAAATAATCCTCTATATTAAATACAGGAACCCAACACTAGCGGTTAGGGGGCATGGGTATACTCCCAGAAAGAGCTAACTTCCACCTCTATAAGATTAGCTAGTAATAATGGATGTACTAAGGGAGGTAAATACATGACATTTATGAGCCTAGGCTAAGACCTATTGGCCGGCCTACCTTTCCTAAGTTGCATCTTAAATATAGATCGAGAGAATCTATATCCTAGGGGCTATCATATTCTAGATTTCACTCTATTCTTAAGAGATGGCACTCAATCAAACTTGGAGCATATTGGAAGGTTCACCATCAAGTATAGAGAAATCGCTAATTATAAGAATTTTGGCAACCAGAAGTTAAGACTATCCTTGAATTCCCTCATGGGCTCAGCTTTCATATGGTATATGACCTTGGCACCTAACTCCGTCTTTACATGGGAAGAGATGTAAGTTCCATATTTAGTTCTATAAAGCCGAGCCCAAGGTCAATATTGTAGAGCTATGCAAATTATCCCAACAAGTTAGTGAATCAGTAAATAATTATCTCACCCAAGTTTAAATGGGAGAATGACAGATAGGTTTTAAGGAGACCAATTAATTCAAATTAAGTCTTAAGTGTCATATTTTAAGAATTTACAAGTTTGACTTTCAATTTTACAACTTTATTATAATGAATTTACAATTTATATTTTAAATCTTAATAAGAAAAATTATTTTTTTATTCTCTAACCATGATTGGACATTTGATTTATATATGTATCACAATTCTTATATATGTGCAAATTTAGTTAGGAGTCTACTGTTTGCCTTGGTGCTTCAAAGGACAAAATCTTTGTTATTGGCTGGAACTCACCCAAAAGGAAATGGTTGGTAGTTAGGTAGATAGAAACGTGAACTTTTTTTTTTTTAGCTTCATGTAACACGAACATCCTTACTTGAACATCCAAATTGAGTCTTCAAATTTCAAAGATTATGGTCGGGCATGATTTTGTTTTTCTTTTTTTTTTTTAGGAAACTCCAGTAAATGTTCAAAAAAGAAAAATGGAAAAGGATGAAAATCTTTGATAACGATCAGCGATGGAAGACGAATCTCGACTTCCGGACTATTAAGCACAGGCCCACTCATCGTGTCAAGCCCATTTAACTGCGAGCGTAAAGACGAGCCCTACAACCAGTTTCCATGACTTCGCATTGCTGGTTCTAGACCCCGGAACCCCGCCCTGCGCGCGAGAGCAGTCTCCAAGTTCTGGCGCAAGGGTAGCTGGTAAAGCTGTATCCCGTATGTAACAGCTAAAGCCGCTCTGAATCTCTGTTCGAAAAACTAACTTTACTCTGTGCTAAAGGATTAACCTTTCTGCCAAGATAATAGTACCATAGTTATGGTTTATTAGTTTCCAGGCCTCTTTCCCTGCACGCATGTGATGGCGTATTGGTGCCGCATCAGGCAATCTAAGTTGAAAATCTTGTCCACTCAATTTCGAAGATGTTATGTTCAGCTCCCCGGCGCATCTTTATTGAATTCCATCACACATCGGAAAACCCGGGTTTGTGAGAGGCCAAGCTGGATTTTTCAAAATAGGTCCACTGATGTTTATTATAACGCAAGGTTTTTTGCTGCTCCTGTTCAGGTAGGTTTGTAACTTTAGTGGTTGACAATGTTAAATTTTTTGCTTCGACGGTGACAAAGAAGGGGTAGTATGTTTCTTGTGAAGTATGTCTTAGCGTAAAAAAATTTAATGTTGAGGCATGTATTTGTTTGTTCTTGCGGAATTGGTTATGGGTTCTTTATCCAGTAAGGTAGATGGATTTTTAGGTCCTGTATAACAGAGTATGTTGTTGTGATAGCCATGTGTGGTTTAGATGATTCTCCTTGATGTTATGTGTTGATGGTGCATTTTTTGTTTTCAGGCGAAGACGAAGAAGGACAATAGTGAGCCGCGAATGAACGAAGAAATTACTGATCAGTTTGTCAGGCTTGTTGTTGATGATGGTAAATATATTACTCCTGATATTCGCTAATGTGAATTGTTTATTTTTGTAATATAGTTTTGTGGCTGTGCGCATGGCATTTCTCTCTTCAGTCTAATAATTAATGCCTTCCGTAAGAGTGATTATTATTCAATTGGTAATCAAATATCAACTTATTAGGGGAAGGTTGTATTGGCTGTTAATTACTGATTTGTCGAAGGGAAATGCAAGTGCAACCGTATGCTTAGATTAATCATCTTATATTGAAAGGGGTAAAGTGAATTGCTGTTCTAAAAGTTTGCCAGAAAATAAAGCTACCGGCCATACTTTCATTTTAATAGGATGTGTTCACTCATCACAAACACTTGTTTTCTCTTACTTTCTATGAAACAATTTTGACTAAGATTAACAAGAATATAATATGGACTATGGAACATGCTTAGGAAGTTAGGATAAGACTACCAATTTCCAAAGGATTTATGGAGATTTATAGTTATTTGCATATAATAAATGTAGATGTCTGGAACGCAGAGTGTAGACATATGCTGCTTTGTACTGTTTTCAATGGAAAGATCAGTACTTGTGAATTTGTTAATATGTTCTGTTTGAACTCTGATTTTGCCATTAAATTTATGTATCCATGCAGGACATTCAATAGTTTCAAGGCTTGAAGCACTACAACGTGCTAGGAGGCTTAAGCTTGATTTGGTGGAGGTAAGTTTTTTTCTTCTTCTTTTTCTTTCCCTGTCTTTTGCCATGTTTTCTGAAACATTTAAACAAAAGTGCTGAGTGGAAATAGGCAATGAATAAAATATTTTAGTTTGCTGAAGGATTTATTGATACTTGCTATATTTTGGGACTTTCAAAGTTTTGTACGAGGTGTGGACTGTGAGTCTTTTTTTCTTTTCTTTTTGTTTGTTTTTTGAGTGAAAACTGGATACTTCTATTTAATAAAAAATAGAACAAATACAAAGAAACATAAAGACCAAACTTTCATCATACTCCATCTTCTAAGAAAGATGGTTTATGATCAAAGATACGAAAAGAATCAGTGATATTGTGACCATAAACTGCTAAACTGTGAACAAAATAATTAGAGGACTGTGAGTCTTCAATCTTAAGACGAGGCAGAGAGGCTTTGTCTAATTTCACATAGTGATAAATTGTCACTGACAACAAAAAGAATTAGCTTTATTTTATTTCAATAAAAAGAATTATCTCTTATATTTGGGCTATATAGTGGTCGCCTCACCTCTATGCCAGCGTATAATTTTTGCTTTCTTTTAGATTCAGCACAATGGTTCTACTGGCATTTCTAAATTATGCCATGAATATTAGAATTGTTCTCAAATCTGTCACAAGGGCGTCCATAATTTTCATAATGTTGTACAGGTTCAGAAAAATGCAAAACCACCTGTCTGCAAAATTATGGACTACCACAAGGAAAAGTACAAACAGCAAGAAAAGGAAAAGGAGCGTGCTAAGAGCAAGGTGCAGTATGTAGTGCAGTTTTGCTTTTGTTTACTAGTAGAAGTTATAGATCAATATAAAATATATGATTTTGGATGAGAATAGGAGGATATTATATTAATTAAGATTATAATTTAATATTTTAATATATTTTATCTTACAATCATCTGGTAGGAATTTTTTTTTTAATTTTTGGTAAGAAAAAGGATTCAGTGAGTTGGTTTTTTAAGAGTTCACCGGGGTTGAGGTAAACTTCATTGCTTAAAGAGCAGTTATATAGGACAGAGGTGGTTATAGAGTTTTTGCCTATGAGATCGTCGCATTGATGGTAGGAGTTTGATATGGCCCTTATGGGGTATGAGATCAATCCTTACCAATTGAATTTATTCCCTTATGAGTTCAAGCCTTCTAAATGAAAAGGAAAAGAATCCTTTCATCATTGAGAATAAATAACATCCTTCACAAGTACATTTTTCCATTTTATTTTTAAATTAATAATTTGTTAGGTTTATTTTTAACCAGTGTGCATCCTATTGTGGTCTATAGTTGTACATAGTTTGAGAAATTAGCCATACTATTCATGGCTGATGAATAATGTGGCTTGTTAGAGCTGTTATATTATACTCCCTCTATCCCTATTTATAAGAGGTTTTCTTAAACCATTTTTTGTCTCTAAATATAAGAGGTTATTAGCATATTTTTAATAAATGGACCATTATACCCTTATTACATTGGAAAGGGAAAAAGATAAGCACTTCCATTAATTTATTTTGAAAAAAGAGATTCATTTTTTTATTACAATAATTAGGGGCAAAATTGAAATGTTGCTATGCTTTTAAGTAGATAACCAACTTTTATTGGTTTGCGTGATTTGGTTAAAAACCTTTTGTATATAGGGATGGAGAGAGTATATACATATATAGACCAGACAGTAAAACCTTTTGCAGATTAAGCTGCCTTTTTTCCTGCTAGCTTCAAAGGACATGTTATCTAGACCACTGCATCCATGGCTTGCAGCATCCTGATCAGATCCTATTACATCCTCAATGACTCAATCTATTTTAAACCTTTTTGAGGCAACTGTAAATAGACCTGAAAAATCTTTGGCGTGGGATAAAAAAAATAAATGGACCATGAAGTTTATAACCTTTTCATCTTAGTTGATACAATACTTTGTGTGTATCTGGTATTGGTAAAGCAGGGATGTTTGACAAGTAAAATCTCTTACGGCAGAGCAAGCCAACTTTCAAGTGGCTGGAAATTGAGCCTTCGCATATTTTTGTTTCTCTAATTTTAAAAGATAGTCCGCATGCATGTGTGCTTGTATGTGTATATCATGTATGTAATGTTGTTTTAATATGTTATTTATCACATGCAGTCAGAGTTGAGTTTGAGAAACGGGGTTGGCAAGGAAATGCGCTTTTCTGCAAAAGCTGTAAGTTCATAGTCAATTGTTGGTCTTAATGTGATTTTATGTTGAGTTTCTTTGCTATCTGCTGAACTTCAAAAAAGTAAATTTCATGTTTTGACATTTTTGTCTTATGTTCTCAGGAATTAAAAGACCTGAAGATGAAAGCAGATATGGTTAGAAAATTAATGGAGAAGGGTTACCGAGTGAAGGTACTTTTTTACCCTCTACATGTGATATTTAATTGGTTTTAATTTAGGGTGCTCATATTCTCCCTCCCCCCAAACCAAAAAAGAAAGAGTAGGATGCTCTTAGATAGTGTTTGTACAGTACCTGTGGAGCAATTATGAAGTGATTTTGGAATATCTGTTTGTGAAGCAAGGTTTGCGTGTGCATCTGATTTGTGCATAATCGTTTAGTCATCTATATATAATTTATCATGGTAAATACATAAATGATCTGATGTATTCTTGCTTATATCACTTGTTAGGTTTGGGGCATGCATACATGATAAGAAAGGAGATGATCTTGAGAAATGTTAGCCATATGTGCATGTGTTCATTGCATCATTAAAATATTTTGATGTTTTTGGTGGTCTTTCACTCATTAACGGTCATGCAAAGCAGTGCAGGGCATTAGGAGGAGCTGTGGATCAGGACATGGAAGGAATATTATCTCGTTTTTCTGCTTTGGTATGACTGTCACCTGCTTTATTCCAGGATTTCCTGTCTGAATTTTGTCTACACGTTTTTTTTTTTAACCTTATTTTCCTAGTTTTGTCCATCATTCAATTCTATACCCAAGCAGTTCTTTACAGATAGAAGATGTGTCTGTTGTTGAAAGTGGACCTCATATGGGGAAAAAAGAAGCTTATGTGATTGTCAGGCATATCAAATTTGGGCTACCAAAGAAAGGTGGTGTCCGAGGGAAAAAGTTGCAAGATGCAATGGATAAGTCTGTTGAGGCTGAAGAGGTTAGCGACTCTGATGAAGATCTGAATGAAAGTCCTGCTGAAACAGGGTTTGAGACGGAGGATGAAGTGCTTTCTGATGGTGACAAGCATACGGCACTTGTGATGGGCAGGTTATATAAAAATATAAAAGAATAATGCTTGTTCCAAATTTGCTTGTGATGATAATTTCAACAAGCACTTAATTTTAGTCATGATCTGAACAGGGCTAACTCAGCGGATGATGGAACAGATGCTGCACATAAAGCAGGCTTACTATCAAAAAGTGATTCAGAGCCTCCTGCTATGTTTGAGAATAGGTACAGGCGAAATAATCAACTGTCTATCTCACAGGAGCAGCCAACTATGACTGAGAATAGATACAAACGAAATAATATCCCATCTATCACGCAAGAGCATCCTGCTGTGACTGAGAATAGGTACAAACGACCAGATTCTCGTATGAATAATTTTCCATCCACGGCACAACAGCCACCAGTTGTGACCGAGAATAGGTACAAAAGAACTGATCCAAGAATCAGTTTCCAACAAAAGACATCATGGGATAATTCTGTTTCAAATAGCAGAGGACCTGAAGTAAGAGGTGCATTCAAGTCAGCACCCTCGGATTTGAATCAAAACAGGCAGGCCATGCCAGATTCTTATGCTAAAACAGAAGCAGTCAAGCAAGCTGTTACTCCTGGATCACGAAACCCCATGCCTTCCTTTGAAGATATCCGCAAGGGTGGAATAGCTCACCCTAGCGCTTCCAATGCCCCAAGATCTGGTTATGGTATTTTTAGTGCCACTAAAGGCCTTGATACGCCTGATGCCTGAACAGGGATGCACAGGAACAGAGAAGGTTCTCTTATGATTCTGCCCAACATTGTAGCTCGAGTTCCTCTTTAACTTTGAGGAGTGTTGGGTAGAGATGTAGGGTAGTATCAGTATGAATGCATTAACACTCGGGATTATGCTGTCGCGTGCTCAATTATTATCCCCAGCAGGTCATCAAAGTCAAGCTAGATCGGATAGCAAATATAATATAGTGATAAAGCAAATGATATTTAGGTCCAATGAGTGTTCAACAAGGCCAGTAGCTTAATTTGTTTTGGTTAAACAACAAGGTAATATATTTCTATGTTTTTAGCTCAGCTCTGGCAAGGATTCTTTTCTCTTTTTTTGCCCTGGTTTTAGTTCTGCGGAAATAAAAGCCAAGCAAAGCATTTGCTTGGTGCCGAACAATTTTGGAGGCTTTTCCTTTTCCATCCTTACTTGACCCTGGAAAAGGATTCTTTTACCCGCTGCCCGATAAAATCTGGTGTCCGATTTGTGAAATTTTATTACTTATAGGGCCTTTATGTAATGATTCACGGGATGATTTTATCAGCTACTTTCTATATGCATAATTTAGTGGTGGCAATGGTTGTTTGCTTATCCTTGGTGATAGCGAACAAGCAACTCTCACGCATGAACTTGTATGCCCTTTACTAATCTTGCGCTCTTATTGTGTTCTATATTTTTTCAAGTTTCTTTTTTTCGATTGAAGGCCATTAAAAAAAAAGGATATAGATGATAAGATTTAACTAAAAGAAAGTATTTGTTTTGGAAATATTAGGCCCAAGATCCTAGTTTCTAATATTTATAGTGGAGACTTTTTGAAAATTTATTTTATTATATTTTCTACAAGTATTTTGAAGGCGTAAATGATTTGAAGTTTTACTTCTATTTTCAGTATGATTCGACAGAGGGTTCCCTCTGTTAGTTTTTTTTTTTTTTTGGTTTAAGGAATTAAAGGAAATTTAAAACTTGTTTGACATCCTGCTCCGAAAAAAGTTTTTAATTCTCCAAAACAAAAATATAAAAAAACTTATTTGGTAGCGAATTCTTAAAAAATGTTTTAAAGAATAAAAAGATTAAATATTGTTTTTGAGAATATAAAATTAAAATATGCTTTTAATGTTTTGAGATTATCATCAATGAGAATAAAGAATGTAAAAATCATTTATTTTTTTCCCTCAAAACATATTTTACAAAATATTAATTCTCAAAGTAATAAAACAAAGACAATTTTATACAGGCCCTTAGTTGTTACCCATTTTACAATTCTTAACGAAAAAAATTCTACACTGAATGCCTAAGGTTGCAAGACATAAGGCAAGGTAGTAATAATACGAAGCATTTTTTAAATTGCTTCATAAAGTATCATTAGTAATTAATTAACATCGCGTCAACCGAACCCAGGATTTATTGACAGTTTTAACGTGCGTTGATGCTATGACTGCCTTTGTCTAGAGGAGGACCAAAACCAGAATTGATGAACCCTAATCGAAAGTAACAAAAATTAAAATACAACATAAAAATCCCCGTAGCTTCTGTAAGCCTCAAATGTTAATATAAGTGAACAGAACTTTACTAACAATAACCCCTGAAAATGTCTAGTGACTCCATGTGGTTATTAAAAACAATCCTGCACATGGCTGACCAATTGATGTAGAACATGCCACAGTTCCAACGGTTTTTCCTTGGCTTCATTTTGATGGCTCCATCTCGTTGTTCGAGTAACTTCGTTAATTACTTAAAAGAGCATGGGTTGGGGCAAACACAGCCCTTAGAGCACCGATTGAATCCCAAGGTTTACTGTGCGTTTCAAATTGATTACTTTTTTTTTTTTTCACGACAGATTCTCTTAACTGACTTTATCCGAATTTCCTTGTGAGCATCAAAAGAAGGAAGAATGACATTGAAAGCCTTAAAAAGAAAAATTATTACAATAGAAGCCTATCAGTTTTGTATCAGATATTATGTTGTGAAAAGCTGAATCTTAATTTATATTTTTTATTAGGGTTTCCTCATAAATTTAATAAGTTAAGGTTCAGCTTTTTAAAACATGTCTGTATTTTCACAACACAATATCCAATACAAAGCTGATAGGTCCTTATTGTAATAATATTCCTTTTTAAGGCCTTCAATGTCATTCTCCCTCAAAAGAAACCTCAAATATTTGAATCAAGTGTGAGTACGAAAGATACCCATATTTGGTAGGACCACCTATGGCATCCAAGGTAACTTTGAACTTATATATTGAATGGTATACAAGGGAAGATGTTTAAAATGTTCATAGACATCCACATTTGATAAGCATTTCACCACAAAGTAACTCCTAAGGAACACGAATCATGAGGCAAAATGACACCTTTTTTGGGTAAAAAAAAAAAAAGGAGTTCTAAGAGAAATATCGACATTTATCTAGGCTCAGCCTGTGGAACTTAATCCAAATGACTTGACAATTGTGCTCACCCTGTCTGCAAAAGTTCTAGAGGTGATCTTTTTACCTGGCACATGGAATGGGTTTGAAACCGCATCTACATATGCAGAATGGAATTTCCTGAAAAACTGCGGAGGCAAACAATGACAATTAGTAGCCAAATCAAAGAAGAAAAGTTTCCAACAAATCTTATCCAGTTCATCAGCATTCGGCCGCACAGCATATTGGTTGGATTCAAATTATTAAAGAAAACCTATAATTGAATCATCAAAGGTATCTCCACTGGATATCACTAATGAGTAAAACAATAGTAGCATTTCATCATCGAAGAAAATGACCTCAGGCAAACACGAAAGGTTCACATGTTTAGATGAAACATGTGTGTAACTAATATTGATACTAGACAACTCGAGCAACAACTCCCATCTAGAATTACTCAATCACATGCACATTGATTTGATGCAGGCCACGTTTGCACTCACGGTTGAATCTTACATTTAAACTAAAGAAAATTAAAACATGACTACCTATTAATAGACGGCACTTGTTTATTAAACCATAGTAAATCAGAATATAATAAATTAAGTGGCAATAGCTTTAGACCAATTGAAACACAATGTCATCGTTCATTGCTCATGCCAGGCAACACTGCAGGTAAAGTAAAACTTTAATTTTCAGTTAGAACAAGTGCCCCATTCTATAAAATTTAATTGGTATTAAGAAGTTAAATATACGATAGAGGAGCAAAATTAAGTTAGGCACAAGACATCCAATAATCACCCCTAGGAAGACAGCACTTTGGTTGAGTCCATGGAATAGGATTCTATCCCATCAATTTCATTCCATCCCGATGGCCTGGACGTTTCTTCTTTTCTTAATAGAGGAAGGGTAAGGTGAGATAATTTAGCCATACAAAATGTGGGGAGCAAAGTATAACATTCAGCCCAGTACGACCTATCAAGATTTATTCCAAGAAACGCTCAACTTTTTTGAGTAACAAAAACCTGGGGTGTCTCAGTACTGCGTTGTCAAGAGAATAACTTATTAGTACAATCCTTTCCAGAGTCCATTGATTCAAGAAGAGAAGAAAACGTGCTATGAAGAATACTACACAATGCGAAATTGTAGTTCAAAAAAGAAAGCCATCGAGTTTTATTTATACTCACATTTCTTACATCTGCATCTCTGACATCCAGATCTGTTGTCACCAAGATAAACTTCACCTTTGTATTAGTCAGATAACCATAGCTGCGGATTGTATGACAAAAGAATACTCAAGAAAAGCCATCAAATTTTATTGTTTCGTGGATTCAAGGCAATGAGAAAACACTTATCTTCAGGATAGAATAGACAAGAAATGCACTCACACTCTGTAATTATCAGTAGGATATAGCAAACCCAGAAACGTCTCATTCAGCATCGGTCCGGACTTTTTAGGATTGTTCACTGCTAAAATAACACATTGAGTGAGATAATCCATGACAAGGAAAAGTGAGTCGCAAATTTAGAGAAACTAGCGAATCTTAATTCTCATACGTGTGATCTAAAATCCCAAGCTCAAAGAAAAGTGCAAAGGACAATAACAGTGAAGCTTAAATAATTTGGCGAGATCTCCGAATCAGAGGATCTACAAATCACAACCATTCCTATATTGGATCAAGAACAAAACTTCATAGCAAGACTCTTCATGAGAAGAATCACATCTCAAGTAATTTCCAGAATCCCAAATTCTTGAATCTAAGCCTGGTCAGTAAAATCAAGCATACTCAGCAAAATATAAATTATTGCTCGATAACGGACCTCGCTCATCAACTACATCGAGGGAGCAGTGGACGATATGATGGAGCTTGAGAGCATCATCGGCTTCAGTGAAGCTCTGAATATACAGCGGGTTGTTCTGCTCATCGAGAGAAAAGGAAAAAAAAAAGAGCGATTTGTGATCTCGTGCAGAAAAAAATAAAGCTTATAATAATCTCAAAGAATGCTGTGTGAAATTTGAGGACGAGGAAGTATAAAGGCATACCTGGTGACCAACGACGGCAACGCATACGATCATTTTCTCCGGCTTCACCTCACTGCGGCAGCTGATAACAGTCTCGCTCGCTTGCTCGCTCTCAATGTTTTAAATGTGGGCCGAATTCTAATGCGATCTGGCATTCTCTTGGGCTCAACACATTGGACAAAACCAATAACGAATAAGAAAGAAAATATGACGAAGTATTAGTCAATAGTAACCTACAATTATTTTGAGGAAATAAATTCCTGGCCAAAAAATGGGAAAGAAATTCATAACTACAGTCTACAAGGGTAAAATCAATTTTTTAGTCATTTTTTATCTTTACAAGATCGTTTCCTTGAATAAGTAAAAAAAAAAAAATGTAGAACATGAAATCCACTTCATTCCAGGTATTATGGAATGGAACAAAATCTGATTCTTTTTCACCAACAAGGGGGGTGCGTCAAGGGGATCCTCCAATCACCATTTCTTTTTGTGTTGGGGATGGAGAAGTTGTCACATGTCATCGCAGATGCTGTTGAAGAAAAAAGATGGATGTTGTTTATGCTTGGAAGGAGGAAGGTAATTTCACATTTATTATTTGCAGACGATTTGCTTCTCTATTGTGAAGCTGAGGTTAGTCAACTAAGAGTAGTGCTAGACTGCCTCAATTTATTTTCTGAAATGTTTGGTCAAAAAATAAATGCTCTATAGACTACTATGTATTTTTCAAGGAATGTATGTGACAGTAAATAGCTAGAATTGTTAGATGTCTTTGGGGTTTAAAAAGGAAAATGACTTGGGAAGGTATTTGGGTGCTTTTATAACAGGGGGAAGGAATTCAAAATGGAAATTTCACTTTCTGTTGATAAAGTTTAGAAGAAGTGGTTGGAAGAAGAATAGTTTATCCTTAGCAGGACGTTTAATGCTAGGACAATCTGTTACTTAACAAATGCCAGTCTTTCACATGTTACATGAAAATATTCCTAAAGGTGTGTGCCAACATAGTGAGAGATTGTAGCCGTGTTTAATGTTACAAGTAATATGCGACAAAATGTAGTGGAGGACTATGTAGGGGAGGATGGTGCGTGGAAGCTTGTTGAATTAAGAGGTTGGCTTCCAATAGAGGTAATTGAGAAGATTAAGGCATGTCTATCGCCTTGTCCAGATGATAATGAAGATAAAATAAAATCGATAAGGTCCCCAAGAGGGCAATTTTCAGTATCTGATGCATATAAGATAATTAAAGGTTTTGATGGATTAAGGGACGATCGGTTATGGAAGGAAATTATGGGAGTAGAAGGGACCTAAAAGAATCCAAGTTTTTCTTTGGATGGTAGCAAGGGAGAGTTTACTCACTTCGATAAGAAGAAGCAGATGTTTGCAAACTTCTCCACTATGAGGTGTATAGATGCTGATGAAACTGTTTTGCATGTGTTAAGAGACTGCAAGTCTGCAAAAGAGGTATGGTATGGTTTACTGCAAGGAAAGAGATGGGATGATTTCTTTCACCTACCACTTCAAGAATGGGTGCTGCAGAATTTAATGTGTAAGAAGGGAGCATGGTCAAGGCGGAATGTGATGAATGCTGTAAGTATATGGCTTTTATGGTATTGGAGGAATTGTTGTTTGTTTGAACCTGATTTTATGTGGCCAAATAATCCTAAATATGCTATAAGGAAATATGTGATGGAAATACGTGACGTTTTTTATGAACAAGGCCATGAATGGAGGAATATTTGTACTGCTGTGAGTTGGGTGGATAAAGTTGAACATAGATGGTGCAGTTAAGGGGGTGAGGGAACTTGCTGGATGTGGAAGTACCTTTCGTGATCATGAGGGACGATGGTTAGGAGGTTTTTCATGGAATTTGGGACATTGCAGCAGTGATCAAGCTAAGTGGTGGGGCTTGCTAACAGGTATGTCTCTGTTACAGGCTTACAGCAATTTGAAGGAAGGAATTTTATTGTTGAAACTGACTCAATCATTATGGAAAGAGGAATGAGGGAGTTTCTTCATACTGGGGAAAGTAATAATAGATTTATGAGATTGGCAGCAAATTTTATGACTGGGAGGAAGTTTAGAGTGTGTCATACGTTTAGAGAAGGAAATATGTGTGCAGATTGATTAGCAAAATGGAGCTTCCTTCAAACCAAGAACATCCATCTCCTAAAGGATCCATATGATGGTCTTATTAGCTGGTTGCGAGAAGGAAATTATGATTTTTTTAAGTGCTTCTAATAAATAAATCATTTTATATTTATTTTAAAGTAAAATACTCTATTCAATATATATAAATATGAAAAGATAGTATTAGTTTAAAAATAAATAACTATTTTATTAAAAAGTGAAATTCAGTTAACATGCTTTATATTTTTAAATAGAGGGAGCAAGTGTATCTTAATATACTACTTCATTTTTTTTTCCTAAAATGATGGATAGCATTTATTTGATAATTTAACACCACACTTGGCTAAAGCTAACCAATTTAATTAATTTTAGCATTTTGTGTTTATTTACCTATGTTTTACCAATGTTATTTTAAAAAACACCCACGCGCACACATGGTTTTATTTATGTCTGATAAAATTTATGCTAAACTAAGGAAGGCTGTAAGGTAATTTTCCGATCTTAACTTTATTTTTGCCTCATAGTCAAGTTCATTTATTTTTGAGCTATATTGTTCATGATACCGTATATTGGATTGTTAATTCATGTCAATCATGTCGGAGCAATTAGTCATGCTGGTTCAAAGGAGACATAAACAGTGTCATGAACACTAATACGTTTAAACTTTGGCCCTTTGTTAATGAGTTTGTTATGCAGGAACAAACAAATAAGAATTTAGAATTAGAACAAAATAAAATAGCATTTCTGTTTTGGTCGAATTCACGATTGCAAGAGCAAGTGACGTTCCTTAACTTGAATTTGATTTGATTTCCCTCCCAGTAAATCTTTTTGCTCAAGTGGTTGTGCTTCCAATCTGGCAACCAACACCGGACATGCATAATTTCAACATTTTTTGCACTTAATTTGCCTAAGCTTATGGGCAAAACAGCATTAAAAAAAGTACAAGAAATGAGCCTAAGATTTGAAGAGGTAAAAAAAAGACTAGGTATGAATGTGGTGTAAATGATGGGGGTTATAAGCACCCGTGCGGTGGTTGTGAAGGTGAAGTTGTTGATCTTGCTGATGATAGTTTTCTGATGCCGAACTTGCGCTCATCTCATGATTCCACCCTCTACATGGACTCCTTATGAGCTCCATTAGGGACTCTCTGACCTCTTCAGCTTTTACCATTTCATCCTCCTTCTTCTGCCCCCTCCAAACACACCATACTTAATTCCAATTTCATATACATACGTATATATATATATATATATATATTGTCAGATTTTGGATGAATGAATGAGGAATAGTACGTAAATATGGTTACCTCCACTTTGAAAACATTGGAGACGAGGCACTTGTTGCTGGTCACTGTCGCATGGATGACTTCCAGCCCCAGAGCGTAGAATGCCTCCATCAGTTTCACAAACCCACCAGGTCTGTGCTCGCAGAACACCTTCACGTACAATTCTTTCCCTTCTATCACTGCCACTTCCACTTGCGCCTGCATTTCATTCACTCACTCACTCACCAGATTGATTATCAGACAGCACACATCATAACAACGCACATGTCAAAACTATAAGATGGATTTATATATGGTACCTCCATTTGTTGTGTCTGCTTATCGTTTGGAGCGTCAAATTCCTGCTTTTGCTTCCAGACATTGCCATTCCCTGATTTCCCCCGGTGAAACCCATTTTGAGTCTTCATTTGATCGGCTTTTGGTCCCACTTCAACCCCAACAACATTATCTGGTTGTTGCTGTTCATCCATTTCTGAGTGTTCTTCGAGCTCGTCTTGCAGCTCTTTCACTTGCTTCTGCAAATCCTTCACGTACTCAATCGCGTCCCCGAGAATCGACGCTCTGTCTAGCTTAGAAATTCTGGGAACCAAGGACCGAAGATTATACAAGCTGTCGTTCAGCTTCTTCCTCCTCCTCCTCTCTGCCAGAAGGTTCTTCGATTGATTCCCTTTCCCGTTCCTTCGCCTGTACTTCCCATCATCCTCTTCTTCGTTCTGATCACTGCAATCCGACATCGAATCTGACCTTCCCACCAAGTGTTTGATTAAATCCTTATCGTCCCCTTGCTGCTCCTTCTTCTCAATAGGCTCCACAAACTGCTGGCTTTTGTCGAATAGGAATGAACCTTGGGAATCTTCGAAAAAGGCGTCGCTTTTCATTATGTTCTGCGGGTTGCTGTAGCTATATTGCTGCATCAAGTTCATCGGTGAATTGCATTGATCATGTGGGGGAAGACTTGAAGTCTCTGATGCTATTGTATTCCCATCATTCTCATCCCCTAAAGGGGGATTCATATTTGGTTGCATATGACTGAGAGAATTCACGTCAATGTCGAAGCTCATATCCATAATGCAGTGGGCTGTGATGAAATCTATCACCTGTTGATCTTCTGGCACCTGTTATAAATAGAACTAGACAGCTCAAATGTTCCTGCCACAGAGGATGCCTCTCAAGGTGAAGATATACAGGTGAAGTAAACTTTATTACGTACTTGCTTTGTCACGAACAGCTCAACTAGTCCCCCAGGCACAGGAATCAAAACCTGGGTCCCAATTGCTTCCTGCAGAATTAATATAAAAGCTCTCATTATATAATATTAGCCGAAAATGTGAAGTCCGCCGTTTTGCTTCTGCCAGAAGACAATAATATATGAAAGGAACGTACTTCCAAAGTGTTTGGGTCAAAGCTATTAGAATAGTTCACCCAATTGGGCTGATTGGACAATAGTGTCTCTGCACGAATCCTGTTCATGTACAAATTCAACTGGTGAGATAGTAGGTCTGAAAAACTACAACCGGAAGCAGAGTAAAGCCGGGAAAATGAATAATACCCAGAATCTAAGGTTATGGAAGTGGGAAGCTGGGAAAGTAAATCACAGGACTTCGTTCTGGAATGAGGAAACACGTTATCTCTGCATGGAGCCACTGATGAAACAGGGAAAAGAAGCTCTTCTCCACCATTTTGGCTACCTTCAGTGCCAGCACAAGAGCATCCCATCCATCCAAGAAACCTGAATCACACATCACAATATTGGACAAGGTCGAAAGTGGAGACAGGAACAACGGAACGACAAGAATAAAATGTGGTTTCAACGGATGAGTTTTTGAGAACCTCTGGTCTTGGCTTAGCTTCCAGTGAACACAGTAGTCCCAGCCATTCAAACCCACAAGTGGCCTTAGTCTCTCGGACGGGCTTTGCGTGATTATGTTCATGTCACCTGCAACAGGAGTAATTAAAGCTAACGATGGAGGCTCTGAGTAGAAAACAAATACTGGTCAAGAGACTGTCAGATCAGAGAAAGCAAAATGACGAAACAAATTTCATCATGAAGTCTGTAGTTTTCCCAAGATAGTACCAGTGCTCGTACTTTAAAGAACCCATACATATATACCGTCCGATAATAGCAGGATTTTCTCTTGCACCCTAAAATGGGAAAGGCTACTTGGTTTGACTGAAGTAGGAAGGAAGAAAAACAAGAGCAGAACGGAAGAAAGACAAAAGGGAAACGAGAAGAAACAAAAAGCAAGATCCATACAAACTTAGTTGAAAGCAACAGTTAACTGCATCCTTTTCCACCGTGTGTCGAAACTTATCTCATCGTCTCAGCAAAGTTGCCCACACACATGCTGTTAGAAAAGCTAGCTCTGCGATGCAATATTGGAGAAGAAGGAGGAGAAGCAGCAAAGAATTAAAAGACAATCCATAATGCTCCTTTTTTAAAAAAATTAAATAAATAGAGAAATGGCCGTTACTCAGGTAGGTGAAATGCAGAGGGTGTATGAGAGAGAGTTTTGATGTGAAATAAGGTTAAGGAGGGGGAAACGAGAAAGGAGGAAAGAAAAGAGAAAAGAAAGATATAGATGAGTTGGTAATGATGGCAGGAGCAGATTGCATGACCCAAGATGGCGTACAAAACCTTAACTACCTCACTAAAGTATTTCATTCGTTTATATTTGGACCATAGTACATTCTCCCAAGCTTCAACCACCCTGAATGGTATAAGCAGGTTTAGAGACAAAGAGGTTAGGCTGTTCCCCATTGGCCATTACGTTGAAACACAATAACTTGCACCAACTTACAAGCATAACATCATGTATAGGCTGTCCTATAACTAAAACAAGGTAACAACATGTGTACACTTTTGATTGCTGGTGATGTCAAGTTTAACACGGACGGTTAGCCTTCCATTGAATTTAAAGCCAATGGGGATCTCCTTGTTGCCCTACCAAGCCTGCGCTTCCATCATCACATAGGATTGTAGGCTGATGTATTGTCTTCTTCTACCATTTTTTTCACGACTTCATATACAATACAGTGCGTCGTTATTGAATTTGAGTTCGGATCAGTGCTGCCTCAGTTCATTTATTTGTTCATCTCACACTCCAGTCTTGAATACTTACTTTTTTAAAAGGTTAAATTCTGCACAACTTTCCCAAATTTTAATTTTCAGATTAGTTGCATATATTGACCTAAGTAAGGGAGTTCATGGTAAAAATAAATAAATAAATAAACATAAGGGTTTCAATTATGTTTTAAACTTTCAAGTCATAGTGTTATGGGAGAGGATTATCTCATTTTCCCTTTCCCTCCTCTTCATTTCCTCTTCCCATCATCATCATCAGATTAACATTTCAATGATTAAGTTTAATATTTTATAAAATTATTATCATTATTTTACACAAAAATACATAAGTAAATGTAAATTGTTAAAATTTCACTTGATAATTTAAAATATGGTGGTTAAAAATAAAAATTTTACTTCATACAATATTTTAAATTAATATTCTACAATGTAAATTATTCTGAATAAGTTTTAATTAATAGTTTAAATTTATTTATATATATATTTATAAAATTACAATAATTTTATAAAATATTAATTTTAACCATTAAAATTTTGATTCAATTGTAGAGGAGAGGTCAAGGAGGCGAATGAAAAAGAGATTATCATCTCCCAAAACTTTGATCCAATTGTAAAATGGGGAAAGGGAGAGGAAGAACAGGGAGTGGGTAAAAGTTTATGATGGTTATACATAATTTTAAACATTTAATTAAATCAAATTCAAATATTGTTGAGTTCAATTGGAAATACCTCTCTTTACAAGTGTGTTGTAATACATTCTTTAATATCATTATATTTCTTTTTACCAAGATATTTTTTTGGGTTATTTTTGGATCAACTTGTTGATTTTGTTGGCTAGGTTCTTTAAAAAAAAAACAAAGGAAAAAATTCTGTGGTAAGCAGTTTGGTTTCTTTGGTTTTTTCCATGTTTCCATTTCATTTGATTACAATATGAAATTATTGTCAAATACTCCCTCCAGTCCTATTTATAAGTCATTTCTACCAACCTCATCAATATTAATACAATAAAAGTACAAGGAATAAAGTAAGTAAAATTCCAAACATGCCCCTATATAATAAATCTAAAAAGTAATGTCTTGTTACTTTTTCTTTTTCATAAAGGGTAATTTTAAAAATACCTCTCAAATATTACCTAAAAAGACGCATTATGACTTATAAATGGGACCAAATACACCTTTTAAAATGGGATTTATAAATGAGACCGGAGGGAGTAAAAGTTATTCTATGAAGCAACTATATTATATAAAAGTAATTGGATACTCGATATATGCTATGACATGTACAAGAACCAAATATGGCATATGATATTGGAAAATGATTATGCAGATACATAAGCAATCTAAGTAAAAACCATTGACAGATGTGAATAAATTATTAAGCCACTAATGGGCTTGATTGATTAGGCTCTTTTTATTCTTTTGATCAACTATTTTTTTATTGTTGGAAGGTGGTGGATGATGATAAAAAAAAAGTCATTTTTGTTGTATTTTGCTGAGCCTTGATTGGGAATGTTATTACTTTGAATTCAAAAAAAAATATTATTCAAACTTTATTTTTCATCTATTCTTCTACTTTTTCAGAAAACCATTGCTACCAACTAAAACAAATTTATTTGCATGATATTGACCTTTATCTGCCCTCAAGTTTTAGAATTGGCCTTGCAAGTAACTGTACAATTATCTTGGACAATACTTGAAGTTTGTTTTTTTTAGAAAAAACATAATTTTGGGTCTCTATACTTTACTCATATTTTATTTTTGGTCTTTATGCTTTTTTTTGGTGCTTTAGATCCTTAAACTTTTGTTTTTTATTGTTCAAGTTTCCTACACTTTATTCATAAAAGGTTTTCAAATAATGAAAAACAAATGTATAGGGATCTAGAACATTAAAAAAAAAAGAACTAATAGCAAAACATGAACAAAATACAAAAATTAAAAGTTATATTTTTTCTTTTTATATATAGAAAAGTTTTTGAGTTGGGTTTCTAAAGCTCACTAGGATCAGAACATACCTTCAAACTCAATGAAAATTTATATAAATATTTACAAATCACTTACTGATAAAATGTTTACATTAACAATAAAATTTGAACCCTCAGTCTTGTGAGTTATGTATGGGCTAAATCCTCAGCAAGTAGAGCAAATTTTGTTCGTGACACAACTTGAAGTTGTTGCCTTTGTTTTTTGGATCAATGTTGCCTTTGTTTCTGTCCACATTTGTTTTTCTTCTTGAGTTTGCATGGCCCAATATGGATTCTTCTTAGACTTCATATTGGGTCATCTTTTCTACATGTGTATGTTTTCTATAATTTAGTGTTTGCGTTTTTTTGGTTTGTAAGTTTCCGTCAGTCTTGGTGCAAGAAATTCTATTTTTTCCATTCAATCTTTTTAGTTTTAAATATATGATCTTTCCTAAAAAATTACATATACGCAGATATTTTTAGAAAATAAATTTTATAAATTATTAGTTAGCTAGCGTTGAGTGGAAAACAATTGACTTAAATGTATAAGTTCTGCAAATCATTAGCTATACATTGACTTGAATGAGAGTTGGTAACTATTTTCCTTTCCTACACACACACACGCACGACCATATGAGATAATTTAATATTTCCAAGAAGAAATTTTAATATCGCCTGAGAGAATTCAACAAGCTTGTGGAAAACAGTTCAAAAATATAATCACAGTTGTGGAGTTTCACTTCTTTGCGTTAATCTCAGATTATTGTGAAATCCCAAAATTAATTAATTTTATTGTAAAGAAGAACAAGTTACATACTTAATGAGCCCAGAAATTCAGTAAATTATTCTGAAAGAGAAATTCCATTCTATTGACTTACCAAACCTGCGATAACATCATAGACAAAGTCCTTGTGAGCGAAAGAAATGGTTTTTTGATATCTCATAGTGAAAGTAAAATAAAACAGTGGAAAATGGAACCTTTATTCTCTCTTTTTTTTTTAAATAAAATAAAATAAACTAAAGGTAATATTACGTTAAAGGAATTAAAAAAAAGACTTATTTTTTTTCTATGAAAAGTTGCAAACCAAACATAACTTTAAATATTCTTCAATGGGTTAAAGTATGCTTTTAATTTTATAAAAAAATTTAATTTAATCTCTTAATTTTATAAAATATTTTTTCAGTTTCTTAACTCTAATACTATTGTTTTTTATAGTTATTTTTTCATGCTGATCATTATTATTTTTTTAAAAAAAGTAAACTTAGTATGTCAATAATATTTAATAATGATTTGTCAATATTTAAAAGTTAAATGTAAAATTTTTTTGAGATAAAACTAATGGTATTAGAATTAAAAGATTAAAAAGATACTTTATAAAATTAAGATATGAAAGTAAAACCTTGTACAACGTTAAATGATTAAAAGTATACTTTAGCGTTCTTCAATAAAATTACATACAATATAAGAATGAAAGAGAAAATTTTATTGTAAACTCAAAATATAATACTCTTCTAGTGTTATTTATAGGGCAAAGAGAAAAAATTAATTTTAATCATATTTATAAGACACTTCACTATTTTTTGGCTAAAATACACCTTTAATCATTTAACTTTATATAAAATTTTATTTTGGTCTTTTAATTTTATAAAGTGTCTTCTCAAGCTTATAATCCTAACACCTTTACAAGAAATTCCTTTATTAAATTTTTAAATGTTGATAAGATATTCTTAGATATTAATATATTAAGTTTAATTGTTTAAAATAATAATTATTAATATAAAAAATAATCATTAAAAACTAATGATGATAGGGTTAAAGAACTAAAAAAATATTTTATAAAATTAAAGAATTAAAATGAAACTTTATATAAAGTTAGAAAACCAAAGATAGACTTTAGTCATATTTTTCAAGAAAGATTTCAACAAAAACTCTTTGACATAGTCAATAAAAAAGAGAATTCCAAAAACTTTGAAATTTCATTGCAATCTAAGGGTACTGCAATGAAATTAAAGTGCTGAGGGAAATGATAAAATCAACCCTCTTCATAAAATATATCCAAACAATGCAAACATGAGTTATTTGTTTCCTGATTATCTGTTATTCATTACATTACATTACATTAAGTTATTCATTGTCATACTATATATTGTTTATACATTACTTTTAGTTAATTTCATTTCAAATGTTATTATCATGCTGATACGAGTTGCTCATTTTCTTATTTAATATTGTTCATTACCCTACATCCGACCTCACTTAGTAGAATAAAGGCTTGTTATTGTTGTTGTTGTACCCTACATGAACTTATTTGTTTGCTCTATTATTTATTGTTTATCAATTACTTTCAATTAATTTCATTCCACGTGTTATTATCATACTAACATTAAAATTAACACTTGTTGCTCATTTTCTTATTTTTTTATATTTATTTTTATCTTTATATCATTATTAAATGCTAAAAATATTGATGGAAACTTATTTAATAATTGATTTTGATAAAAAATATTAAAATTAACTTATAAATAAAAGCAGAAGAAAGTACACCTTAAATTATCAAGCTTTTCCCGTCTCTCTTACTTTCTTGGTGTCACTTTTCTCCCCCTCACCCCCCCGGCCCTTTCCCTCTCCCTTGCCCTTTTTTTTTTCTCACTCTTCTTCCTTTTTTCCTTCTATTTCTTCTCTCTTGCCTTTTTTCTACAGCCTCGGAACACCCCTTCTCTCTTCTTTCTCATTTTTTGCTCACTTACCATTTGATACATCGAAGAGAGTGCCTTGGCTTTTAAGTGCAAATTTATAGTTAATAATAATCTTTGAAAAAGAACAATTGATATTGATTTGGAGGCTACTCCAAGTAATTTATATTATTATTCATTCATTTATTCATTTGATTTGAACTTAAAATTAGTGATGATTTTAACAGAGTCAGCATTCTAGTGAATTTATAATCCCATCGACATAAATATATAAAACTTATAGCATGTCTGATGAATTATAAGCTATTAATAACGGATTTGGTGGTTCGCCTTGCTCTCCACCATGCAGTACACAAGAAAACGTGTCTAATTATCTTAAAAAACAAGCACACTATTTTTTATATATTGCGGGCACATGGACATAGTAATCATACAGACAAAGAAATAGGAGCAAGATGCAAAGTGATAGCATTGAGACCCTTGCCCCTTCAATTTGGGATGCCGCAGTACTTAAACTCATAAGTTCCACTAGTGACTCCCTAACTTCTTCAGCTTTTACCAATTCTTTCTCCTTCATCTGTCAACTCAAAACGCACCCACATAATTCATTTGCAGATAATATATAATATATTCAAGACAGATTAAAAGAGAGAATTAAGCAATTCCAAGAATCTTTGTTGAAGACATTAGACTAACAATTCCATTAATCTAAATGGTCTAAATTTTTTGTTCCATTGAAGATGGTTTACCTGCACTCTGAAAATGTTGGAAACAAGACCTTGGTCGGTAGTGACATTAGCACGGACGACGTGGAGGCCCAGAGAGTGGAATGCCTCCATCAGTTTCACGAACCCACCAGGTCTGTGCCCACACAACACCTTCACTTTCAACTCATTCCCCTTTATCACTGCCACTTCCACTTGCGCCTGCATTTCATTCATTCATTCACTCCACACATTAATTATCATACCACACGCATCATAGCCACGCTAATATCAATTTGACAATATACCTCCATTTGTTGTGTTTGCTTATGGTTCGGAGCATCAAATTCATGTTTTGGCTTCCAGATACAGCCATTTTGGGTCTTCATTTGATTGGCTTTTGGTCCCATTTCAACCCCATATACATTATCTGCTGCTGCTGGTGGTGGTTCGTCCATTTCTGAAATTTTCTCGAGCTGCAAGAGCTTATCTTGCTGCTCTTTCACTTGCTTCTGCAAATCCTTCACGAACTCAATTGTGTCATCAAGAAGAGACGCACTGTCTGGCTTAGAAATTCTGGGAACCAAAGGCCTTAGACTTAACAAGTTCTTAGTGAGCCTCTCCCTCCTCATGTACTCTGCCTCAAGGTTCTTGGATGCAGTCTTCTCCGCTGCTCGGGATGTGACAAAATCGATCACATGATGATCTTCCAGCACCTGTTACAAGCTATACAGTTTAAATGAGGCTACCTTGAAAGATGTCTAACTTAATTACGTACTTGCTTCGTTGCAAACAGCTCAACTAGTCCACCCGGCACCGGAATCAAAACTTGGGTCCCAACTGGTTTCTGCAAAATTACTAGTATTTTATATCATTCGCTGAAAATATGAAGTCCCTCTCGGTTTATGAAAGGAACTTACCTCAGAAGTATTAGAATCTAAGCTATTGGTATAGTTCAACCATTTGCATTGTTTGGATAACAATGTCTCTGCATGAATCCTGTTCACATACAGGTTAAGCTGGAGAGTAACTGAGTCTAAAAGTTACAATCGGTAGAATAGTAAGGCCAGAAAAAATTAATGTATACCCTGAATCTAAAGTTATGAAAACGGGAAGTCGGGAAAGTAAAGCACAGGACTCTGTTCTGGGGTGACGAAACATGGTATCCCTGCACGAAGCGACTGAAGAAACAGGAGAAAGAAGTTTGTCTCCACCACTTTGTCTACTTTCAGTCCCAGCACAAGAGCATCCCGTCCAAAAAAGAGACCTGAATCACACATCACAAAATAGGACATGGTTGAGAAAGTATGCAGGAACAAAGTTTAAACGAATGTGAACGAAAAAATGTGGGCTTAATTCATGAATCTTTGGCAACCTTCGGTCTTTGCTTAATTTCCAGTGAACACAATAGTCCCAGCTATTCAAAGCCACAAGGGGCCTCAGTTGCTCAGATAGGTTTTGCGTGACAGTGTTCATGTCACCTGCAAAGCGAATAATGAGGCGAAGAAGAAACCAAAAACCAGTCAAGAGCTTGGCAGATCAGATAATAAAATGAGACGGAAACGAAGTTGCTTAATTGTGTATAATTCTATCTTTCCAATGGAGAAGGAGAAGACCAGAAGCGAACAAATAAAGCAAACTCTAAAATTCCTGTCGTTTTTTTTTTCTTTTTAATTTTGTAAATAGTAAATATGAAAAGTGGCCGTTATTGTGGTAGGTGAAGTGCAGAGAGCGTATGAGAGATAGATGAGTTGGCAACGATGGGGAGAGCATATTACATGACCCAAGAGGATTGGGGAGAGCGTTGATGTGAAATAGTTTAATTGGGTGGTGTCAAGGGAGGGAAAGCAATAAAGGAGGAATTGGGAGGAGGAGAAATGAGAGATACTTGAGTTGCGCCCTTGGCAGAGCATATTGCCAAACCTAATAGCCGTGATGATCGCCTTTGTATTTCAAAATCTTAATTACACTCCCTTCCTTCTTGTATTCTCCTTCTCTCTAAAAATATATAATATTTTTAATTAAATTTTATCTTTTAATAAAGTAATTACTTATTTTTAAATTTATTCTGTCTTTTTATATTTATCTCTATTAAACATTTTACAATAAATATAAAGTAATTATTAATAGGGGCATTTTTGAAAAAATACAATGATTACATCTCAAAAGAATAAAAATGCTTTACATTTTTGAACATCCAACTCCTCAAAAAATACCTTATATTTTTTAACGGAGAGAGTATAATATATTTTTTAAAAATTTATTTCGTCTCTAAATATAAAAGGTGTTATGATATTTTTAAATAATTAAATAATTTTTTCTTTGTTTTTTTAAAAAATAAAAAGATATTAATTATTTACTTTACCTATCACTATCATGACATTAATTGTAACATTATCAAGGGCAAAAATAAAAAATTAATATAATTTTAATTAAATAACAAACTTTTGTTAGTGTGTAAAATTTGACTAAAAACATCATGTGTATATATATATATATAGCGATAAAGGAAATAATTACTTACTTTAGTCTAACCAACTCTCCCCTAACAACCCCCTAAATAAATAAAATAAAACAAAAATTGTCATTTATTACATAGATATGGGATTTTTATAAAATATATAACAAGTCACGTTACTTACATCTCACTTCTCAAATTTTATATAAAATATATACCTAGATGATGTTTAATGGTATATTTCCTATCCATTATAATACAGGGTATTGATAATTAATTTATAGTTTTTAAAAAAATATTAGTTGAAATCTAAACTTTTTTAAAAGATTTATATCTTTTCAATTATAACCTCATTAAATATTCTATGTAAGAGTTTTAATGATGATTATTAAAATTTTAATGTATTATTTTTTTAAAAAAATAATAAATAAAATAGAGGTATAGTTAAAAAATAATTATAATTATTATATGTCCTTGTGATCTTGAGGGAATATATATATATATATATATATATCTATATAAGTTTGTAACTTTTTCTTTGTTCTTTTTAATTTTTATCGGACTCCAATTTTTTTTTTTTTTAATTGAAAGGCTAGCTAACTGCTGGAGGGAAAACTACGGAAACAGAGTCAGTACAGACGATGGTTCATGTCAGTGGACATGCCACTTTTACCATGCAAAGGATTATATAAGCGCGTGGATCTCTTTTCCTCACGCCATTTTTATGTGTATTTTGTTTTGTTTTCAAAAAAAAGGTTTATATAAACGCAACACTTTCATAAACTATCACTAAATTGGTAGGTAAGGGTTTTGTGGAAAAGTGAAATTGTAAATATGATAAAAATGGAATGTAGAATTGGCATTATATTTCTGTATCTCCTGGGAAAGTCATTAAAGGCAGAAAGGGTGGATGGAAGTCAAAGGAGACCAAATACTTAGAACTTGAGGTGTTGGCATTCACACTATACAGTCTGGTCGTCCCGCGCTTGTTGGCATTTGTTTAACCCACCAACTACCCTCTCCCCTCCTTCCTTCCAACCTTCTTTGGTCCTCATTCCTTTACCCAATTTCCCATACAAAATTACAAATCATTCTCCACCTAATTTTGAAGTAATTGAATCTTATACTTTCTATTTTTATACTTAAATATGATTATAATATTGTCACTTTTAAAACAACGTCCTATTAAAATTCATTTCTTAATTGAAAAAATGTGCAACTTTTTTTTTTTCCATTCTGTCTCTGTTTTTTCTTTTAACTTTGAGTATAGTCCATTTAAATAGTTTATTTCACACTTCTAAAATAAATCGCAGTTGCTTTTTAAATTTACTTGGTTATACTTCCTTAATCAATTAGAGACTTCAATTCATAATCATGTCAAGTATTGTACATATGCACAAAAGAAAAATAAAGCATGTCTTATTATTTTCTTAATTTTAAAATTACTTTAAAACGATCTAATAAATTTAGAATTTAATTATATGATCTCTTTTTCCCGTCAAAGACTTCAGATGATCCTATTAGAAACACTTAATATATGATGAAAAGAATATTCTGGCAAGATCAGGATGCAAGCATTAGGAGCATGTGGTTATATGCAAGCCGATTTATTTTCCGAGGTTGGTTCTATATTACCAACTAGGAATGCAATTTGATATTACTTGCACCATTTGAATGTTTATTTTGATTGTATTTTGATCCTTAGGTCATATGTGTTGTGGTTAAGTAAATTATTCAAAACTAAAATACTGATACAAATATGATTGTAATTAAATAAATGTTTGCATTTGAATTATGTTTAAAGTCAGAAATAAGGGTCAGGCTTGAAGGCTCTATTTAAATAAGGGTTTGAACTTTAGAAATTAAACTTTTTTTTAAAGTAACCAGGCTTGGGCAGCCCTTTAAGTCTTAATAAGCTGGGTTATCTTACACACACACACACACATGTATATATTTGATTAATAATAATATAATTTGATTAATATTTTTTGTAGATAATGAAGAAGAAGTTGTAGAGATATATAATTGACATTAAATCTTCACATTCATCTTTAACAATTGAACGTACATCTAAGAGATCTAATATTTTGTTTTTAAATGATGATGATAAGAATTTAGATTTACATTAATGAAGATTTTAATCTTCAACTTAAATTTAAAATTTTAAATTTTTGTTGAATTTTATGTGAGATTTTAATTTATTTTATGTTAAATTTTAAAATATTTTGTTTAAATTAAAATGTTTGATTTGTTTTTGAAAAGAGGACTTAAGCCTGGCCCTGAGCCTTATAAATAAGGGCCAAGCCTCAAAATTAGGTCAAATTTTGGATAATCGGGCTTTAAGGCCTGAGCCCTTAAGGGTCAAGCCCATAAAGGTTGGGCCCACCTTAATTCCCACCTCTAATTATGTTGCCATTTAATGTTAATTACCTCCCTCTTATTTTTGGAATCAAGGGATCGAGGGTTTGAAAATGAGACATATGTGTGTTATGAATGATGTGTGGGTTGCACAGATTGTTCTAAGTATGTTGAGTATGGTTTAGGTATTGGATTAAGCTGTTGGCATATTGGGTTTGGAACACCTTAGTTATGGTTTAAATGTATTTGGGTGTTCTACTTTCTAGTATGAAATAATTTGAGAGTAAAATTAGTACCATTAGCTAGTTGTGGAAAGAGCTTTCCATAGACATTAAGATTATTTTAATCAGATGTCAAATAAAGATTTGGAATACTTTGGAATTTTGTCCTTGGAGCTATCAAATTAATAGCTTCTATTGTCAATCGTTGTGCAATCTCCTTTAAGCCGTAGTGAAACCTCATTTTTGTGTCTTATTAATGTTTTACTTTTTATTTTTAATCGTTTTAAGTCTAAATTGATATCTCATGCTTCCATACATATTTTTACTCTGATTTAAACTTGTTTAAGCTTTGATTTGAAGTGTTTTAAGTGTCAAAACTTGGAATCTCATATTTGTCTTCTGCATTTAAAAAGATGAGTTTGTCTATTTGGCTTTCCAATTGATTTAATATTTTTGGTTTTGAACTATTCTACTATGGTAGAATTTATTCTACCATAGTAGCGAGCATTGACTGTAACATCCCAATATAAATTTTAATAGTTAATTTGGGTTAATAGAAAATTTTAAAAAAAAAATAATTTTAAAAAAAAAATAAAAAAAAATAATAATAAAATAATATTATTAAATTATTATTATAATAATAAAAAAAAAGGTGTAAAAACAAGAAAGAAAGGAAGAAGAAGAAGAAAACGAATTTGCTTCGTCCGCCGCCTCAACAGTAACAATAATAAAATAATAATAAAAGAAAAGAAGAAGAAGAGAGAGAAAATAATTTTAAAAAATATGTGGGACCCACTGAATTTTTATAAAAACTCACCTTCCTTCATTTCCTCATTCATTCCTACGCGCGAGCTGAGGCGGAGAGAACGCGAGTCACCGGTGCGAAATATCTAAATTTTTAAGGTAAGAGTTTTTAATAGGATATTTAGGGTGTGATTTTAAGCTTTTCAAGACTAAGTAAGTGTTCTAAAAATTTTTCTTAGTCATCCTTCTTCTTTAGTTTTTGAGTTTGTAGTGGTAGAAAATTTAAGATCTGGAAGAGGGATGAATTTATGTTGAATAAATATGATTTATTGAGGTTGAGATGATTATTTGAGATGAGAAATGAATTATTATGGTTATAGGATTATGATTCTAAGCTAGAGACTTAATTTTTAATTTTTGGGTATTTTAGGTACGAATTTATAAAATAAAAAGAAAATTTTGATAATAGAAATTAGTTTAAAATTTGATTTTTAGATTATCAATGTTTATTGATAATTAAAAGAGGAGTTAAAAATTATACTTAATAGTATTAACTATAGATTTGTATTAAGATTGAGATTAGGAATTATGTTATATTTTTAATTCTATTATTAGAATTATTTTATTAGTTTCAAAAATTGAAACTAATATTTATAAATAATATGTTAATTGTAGATTGTATTACTGGTGAAGATTGTGGTGAGAGAGAAATTTTAAGGAATAATTTATTGAAAAAGCCACAAGGTAACCATGTTTTTAATTTGTGATTAGTGTTACTTCATGTTAATTGGGTGATTATTGAGAAAATTATGAAATTTTTTAATATTGTATAATTGTGCAATATTATTATGAATTTGTTTGATTATTGTGGGAGGTGTTGGGAGGCTTGCTATTGTTGTTGTATTTATGTGCCACGTGGTACGCCCCTATTGGAGC